GGTCTATAGGTTCCACTTGGAACTTGCAAACGCTCAGGCCAACGATCAAGGGCCCGATTGGAGGCCCGGAGGGCAAGTCAAAGGTCATATGAAGAGACTCCAATCTGAAAGTCGGAAGCTAAAACGTTGCGATTTCACATGTCAGTCCAGTGGCCTCTTATGTCGATCTTGTGGCCCCAAGACAGTGAGAGTCTCTATGTCAGGCATTTGACTGAGGCCACCAAAACCATGCTGTCGGTTCCTGGCAGGTCTGGCCCCTGGGGCCCTTTTCCGGGGTTAAGGCCGGGGCCTGCAAGTGTCAGTCAGAAACCTCTCCATCGGTCGAGGCCTCTGAAATACCGAAGAGCGCTATGCTCTTCACTGCTGGGTGAGGGGCCCCTGTGCCTTCCAAATAACGATGCAATTGTTCCCATCCACTATGAGACAGCGGAAAGACCCTGTATCAGTTAGGGGCCCCAGTGCCGAACGAGAGGCCCTCTGCACTGTTTTGACCAATGGCGATTGATTGGTCGGTGGCTCGGTGCCAATTGTTGGATTCCCTTGGCAGGTGAGGGATCTTATTGCATCAGCGAGGGCCCCTGCGCCGACCTGGTGTGAAATGCCCTAGTCAGATGGACTATTCCATCGGGACCACCAGAAAAGCAGCCGCTAGGTAGCGCGAGCTGGTACGGAATGCCTTTCAGGTCTGGACCAGAAAGTTTACCTGGGGAATTTCAAAGTCGATTCTCCAATCGAAACAAGCAGTAACAGCAAAGCAAGCAATGGAGATTACGCCATTGCGTCACTAGTTTATGGTGCTGTGTATGCTAATGAATTTAAGTGCAGTGCAGTGCGCGCAGAGGTGAAACTTACGGGAAGCATAGGAAATAAAAAAAGTGACGAATGTCAACGTTGTTTAGAAGGAGCTCTAACGACTGGATTAACAATAACCTTCCTTCTTTATATGGCGTGCTGGCATTTCTGGCGGTGTCATTTCAGCGCATATGTGTGGGAATAGAGCTCTGCTACATCTGCTTAGCTCTGCTACATCTGCTTGACGCGTCCTCTCCACAGTTCGGTCGGAGGAGTTTGAGTAGTTTACACTGCAATACCACGGCCGCCATTATTTCCAATTTCTGTTTAAGACCTGCCGAGAGCGTTTAAAGACATTGTCGGGCCGGTTTTCTCCATTGTGGTCGCCTATTTCGCGATACTTACGTGGCGTCCGCCACAATCTTCTCGCCCATTGCAGCAGGAATCTGAAACACAGCCTACGCTCGAGCGTGAGATACCCTTTAGTTGACGGCCTCGAGGCTAGATAGCCTCTAAACCGTGACCTGGCTCGAGCGTGAGATACCCTTTAGTTGACGGCCTCGAGGCTAGATAGCCTTTAAACCGTGACCTGGCTCGAGCGTGAGATACCCTTTAGTTGACGGCCTCGAGGCTAGATAGCCTCTAAGCCGTGACCTGGCTCGAGCGCGAGATATCCTTTAGTTGACGGCCTCGAGGCTAGATAGCCTCTAAACCGTGACTTGGGGGGTAAACTGGAACCCTACGACCTTGTTTTTAGCACCTAACCGTAGGTGCGAGAACAATATTCAGATCAAAGCGACTCCGTGCCTGGGAAACAAACGAACTTACACCCAAAAGTTCCATTTCTGACCATCCATTGGCCACTTAAACCAGATCATTTCGGAAAAAGTGGCTTAGGAATTATGTCAGTTCTGTCTGCGTTCACTGCTCAGATTCATGTGCCAACAAGATTAAAAGCTGGGGTTCCAGATGCGTTGCGATGAGCCCATAGCCCCAAAGTCTGCGGGGAGGGCTCTCAGTCCTCTTCCCTCTGTAGAAGCCTCGTGCCCATCACCTCGTCATTCGCCCCGCCACCCACAGTCCGTGGTTAGCCCTCTAGCCCACGTTCGAGAGATAGACCTCGAACTTTATTTATTTTAGGGCCTCAATTTGCCTCGATCTCGAGCCCGAGGCCTCGTAATTGGTCCCACACCCGCAACCTTGTTGCCAACCCCGAACTCGTGGTTGATCATCTCGAATCATCAGCCTTGTGATTAGCTGCAAACCCGCCACCTAGTTGTCGTGGGCTGAACACTCGTCACCATCGTACGCACAACATTCGTCGGTTGGGCTGTGGGTAGCCTTGGGGTCGATTCCCCCTACCTTTTATATCCCCGCAGCTCCTCTTCTAATGTATTCGCTTCGCCGTGCTTACGTGGAGCCTTGCGCGTTGAGTTTCAGAACAGCTGCACTTACTCCACTGCCAACAGCACCGCCAACTCCACAACGCCGCCCAGAGCGTCGAGCGTCTAAACTCTCACGCGCCGTTGTGAGAGTCGCATCACGTCCCGCTCACCTGTGTGAGTAACGGCTTATACTATAGCAGCATTTGACTAATCGGGTAGCATTCGGTTTTGCCGGAAAACGTCCCCCCGCACGACATAATAAGGGCATGACGACCCGGACTTGTGCAGGGAGACCACCGTGAATCCTGCAATGGCGCGCTGGCGTTCGGTGCAATGTTAGGTTTCCTCTTCGTTCTCTTAGCGTGCGCGTCTAGTGAATCAAAGTTTAAAAACCACTTTCGTCGTAAATTATTTTGAATCTTCACGATAAAAGGTTTTGGCTGGGCATGGTACTCGCGCGAAAACATAACATAACAAAAAACATACGCGCGCTGCGAAAACAAACTTAAGTGCAGAATTGGTTCATTCATTAATCATTTTAATGATTTTGCATGGACGTTCCGTCGCTGCTTCTAGACATTCAAAGTCAAGACACCAATGTCATAATAATGCCGACCATGGCTCCTAATTTGCAAAGCACCAAAGCCATGGACCATATTGATATCACGTAGAGTTTCGGGAGTCCAAAATGTTTGCGACGTGGCACCGATGGCTCACTCCCGACAGTTCACAGCATACGTCAATAAAGGGGCGGCGCAAGAGCATCACATTGTGTTTTGTTGGGAGCCATGGCGCGCCCAGTCTAGATTTTGGCCCTTCTGAGTTTAGCTTGGCCACGATATTCTATGCCTGTTATTAGCAAGGAAAGTAGATAATAATTACGAAAATAACAGTTGCAATGGGTAGCATGCAGTGAGCATGAAACAATGCATAAAATAAGGCAATGAGACCAGCACCAAATGATCCTATCATGCCTACCAAAGAGCTTCATAACCCTACCATACTTTTTCAACTGTCAAGAATCAATGTCAGGTCAGGTCGAGGTCAGGTCACCTCATCTGGCCCGATTTTCTGTTCTTCTGCTTCAGGTTCCATTCAGAAGCCATTTGTTAGGAAAGAGTTAGCTTCATCCAATTATTTGTCACAGATGGACTTCATGAGACATTTTGGTCCGGCGCCTGCCCTGACTGCGCGCGATTTATGACCGTTATCACATGTGGTCGTTATCTGATGCAGGCCCGTATAACTTTGATCGCAATCGAGACATTCCAAAACAACGGAAAGGAAGCATCGAAACCGTATGTGCAGGCTAAGATTGCCGTGCAAGCATATACTGCGGACAATATAATTCCTTTCCCAACATCGAAACCCTAACGTCAGACTGTATCCAACTGACCACCTCCCACCCAGTAAAAACGAAGTGAGCCTGTCTTATACAGTTCGGATGTTATTAAATAATGAAACTCGAAAATTGATTTTTACCTCTCCCCCGCTCCCCCTAAAACCCTAGCACGCCAGTCTTAACACGTCTTGCAGAGTTAACGTCTGTCTGCGATGATGATGATTTGGGCTATAGGGCGCGCCGACTACCCTGGTCATTGGCGCCATCACGTGATTGAGGCCGCAGGGTAGGACGCTACGACACGGACCCGGTCATAGATTCTTGGAATAACGAGACCAACGTCTGATGGTAGTAATCTTGCAAGCTTTGCAGCAGCGCTCGCCACATTATCTCCAGAGATTTGTACGTGGTCTCCATCATAAAACCGCGGTTTCTAGAGTAATGTGGCGCGAGAAGCTGAACCAATAAGGTTCAAATCTTGCACCAGGAGATTTATTGGAATGATGCAATCGAATGTCAAAAGGCTGCTTGATGAATCAAATAAAACGCGTCGATTATTGTCGCCGATCTCAACAAAACCAAGCGTTTCGTGCACAGCCCCAATTTTCGGCGTGACATCGCAAAGGCGCAAGTGCTGACAGTGTAACAACTGAGCGTTGCGACCACAGGTAAGCCGACGTACACATCTGCTCTGGAGACACCGGTGTGTATGACTATGTTGCAAGACCCCTGACCTGCCAGCGCATGTGATCATATCCTGTTGTTCGGATCAGCGCCGACACGCCAATGTTTGTTGACGGCAGCTTCCACGGCGCGGCGTCAGATGACAGGAAACACCACTGCTACAAGCCAAACACCACCGCACAAGCCAGCCATCCGGCTGGCGCATACAGGTCTAAGGCCCGACCGAAGGTGGGCTGCAGAAAGGCCTCAGCATTCACTCAATCCAGAACGAAAGCAGCCGGTGGTCTTTACCGGGCGGTAGCAAAAGCGGATTTTGGGACAGGGGCAGAGTCAATCAGTCGACTAGTGCTCCATTAACGCTACACAAGGATATTGACAACTTCAACGGTACTTCTGAGCAAGTCCGCTCTGGTACGTCTGCTGTTTTACACACTCGCAGCGAAGGTCGTCATGAGAAGGATCGACGTTACGCGAGTCCATAAGGAAACGCGGGCAGCCCTTTGCACCCACTACCGCAGGATCTACCTCAATCCATGGTACAAGGAGCCTTGAGAACGCGCCCGATATTCTGTTAGACTGCTCCAGCGCAGTGGTGAGCAGCCAGCTCCAAGGGCTGGCGTTCCGACTGGAGCGCTGCCTGTCGGTGGACTGCACTGCCACCTGGTGGCGCTCTCGCGCTCCCGACCCACTACGCTGTCGCAGACAGGTCAGAACCGCGTCCCGCGCGGCGACGCACCAACCTGCGTTGCAGCATCGCGAGCTCGCACTATGCGCTACTGCGCTGTAGAATCTCACGGGCATTAAGTGAACCATATATTTCGGTACTCGCATTTGGCAGCAATCACCAAACTTGCATGCTGCGCGGCAGAGCCGTTGCCAGTGTGCACGACAGGATTATAGAAACATATCAACTTTTTGTAGGCGTCTTTAACAGTCCAGCAGAGCAAATGTACTAACAAGTATCCCGTCGCACAGCCCCGAAATGAATGAAGGCTATACCAGCATCTCATTAGCATAATCAAGTCGACACTGGCTATCACATACACGGCGATACTAGAATCAGGCAACAGCATAGCAAGCAGCAACGACACGCTTCCCCCACTCGACTCACTGCCGCCAACCAGGAAAACCCCATCACGCCATGTTGACTCGAAACACACAGGTCATATAACCCTGGGCACACTAATCGCGTACCGACGGCGTTATCCGACCGGTTGCGACACTCAGACCCCACAGGAAAGTCGGCTATCACACTGCCGCGCCGGCTGATATGCCCCCTAAGGCCACATCGCACCGCTCACGCGGCGACGCCACGAGCAGAGACCAGGCTGACGCACGGCCTCAAGCGGGTGTCGCGGATACGTGTGGTTTAGCGGCACATCAGACATGCAGGCCATCACTTCGCCTGCAGCCCCTTGTCGCTAGCACGTAATTACTACAGCCCTGCCCAAGTGCTCTCTTCATGCACGATGGCTATCTCCGGTCTCAGTTTCAAGCAAACCAGCCCGCCTAGAAATTTGTGAATGGCGACATAACGGCGTTCTAGGGCAAGATAGCTCAGCTTTAGTAGACTCTCACTACGAGCATGATACTTCCCCGAAATCAGTTTGCCTTCATCAAGTATTCACTAGTGTGAGCTATGGGATTCAATACCCCCGCCCCCTCCCCTTTTAACAAAAAACCGGCATGACCTGTCAGCCTTCTTTACATCGTCCATCTCGTAGTCAACTCGTCCATCCCAGGGCTGGCACACGTATTTTTGCGCGAAGACCATTCCGCCCTTGCAGTTTGTTCCTACACCCGCAAATGGGCAGCATGGCACAGTACCACCATTCCAACCCATTCCAGCCACTCCCATCGGCAGTCCAGCGTCCGCATGGCACCGCACCGCGGCTTCCCGGCGTTCCAGCGTTCCTACCGCTCCGGCCGGTCAAGCGGCAGCAGGCTACAGCCGAGCAAGCCGGCGCCGGCCCAGGGCCGCGGTGTTAGCTGCAGCGCCAGCCGGCGGCCGTCCCGCAGCACCGTCACCGGCAGCGGCCGGCCGGCGCTGTGGCGCACCGCCGCCGCCACGTCCGCCAGCGTGCCGAAGTTGTCGGCGTGTACGGAGCCGACGGCGGCCAGCTGGTCGCCGCGCTGCAGGCCAGCCGCCGCTGCCGGCGAGCCGTCGCTCACGCCCGTCACCTGCAGAAAGGCGGCCGGCGGCGTCGGCGCGCTGTCGGGCTCACGCGCCGCGCCGCCCGCCGCCCGCTGCCGGCCGTGCAGCTCGGCCAGGCCGGCCTCGATGCGCGTCATCAGCGCCCGGTGGTCGTTCTGCAGGCGGCGCAGCTGCGAGCGCGCGTGCCGCACCGAGTACACGTCGATGTCGGCGCGCGGGTAGTCATCCGCGTCCACCAGCGGCTCGTCCATGCCGACCCGCTGCGTGGAGAGGACGTTGCCCATCTGGCTGATCTGCTCCTCCAGATGGGTCTTCTCATCCATGAGGCGCAGCAGCGCGACGCGCAGCCCGCTCGCCTGGTCGTCCCCGCCGGCAGCCCGTTCAGATGTCATGGTATTGGCTTCTGTTGCATGCTGCTCCATAGCTGCTCAGGAGCACAACCCACTGAAATGAAAAAAATGAAAAAAATGAAATGAAAAATGATCCCATTGATAATAATGATGATCTTGAGAGCCCAACAATAAAATCATGTGCCAAGTATGATAGTGCCATCATCTATGATGCTGACCATTTTGAGAGATAAAGAAACTATTGAACACAGGCTGGATTTGAGTCCAGCCTGTGATGCCATGCTTGGTTACTACCAGGACATTCTCAACTGAGCTTCACTGCCACCCTTTCTGTTTATGCAATAGTCAGTAACATGTGAATGCTGACAGCATATAACATTTGGATTTAATCATAGCATGCTGTCCAAACTCAGCAAAGTGGCACAACTGAGGCACAGGCCAACAACTGATATATACCATTTGGCAATCAAATAACTTTTTCCTGGAGCATGAAGGTGTAATTTAGCAAAGCAGGATTCCAGCATGCATGAGTAAATTATTTAGGATACATAACACATTTCTTTTGTTTGAAGCAGTAGGCCTGCCTGGCATGCCAATAATTTAATCAGAAGAGGAAGCCAAAAAGTGTGGTTCCAGGACAAAGTTCTCCAGCCTGAGCAAAGTTAGAACAGCTGAAGAAGTTTGACCACTGCACTTGATGATTTACCATATGCCACCATGGCAATACAGTAAAACATAAGCTGTTCAGTAGAGGCACCGCTGTCACAAAAATATTTTTGTCTCCACTGAATGCAAATGTAAGGCTGCTACAGCTTTAGCAGTGTCCACAAGTTTGACCAGATTCATCTATTTTGAAGATAGTTTCTGAACTGACATTTGAATTATGAGCTACAACCTGATTACAAAGATCCTTTTACCCCTGCATCTTCTGCAATGCACACCTGGCAGGGTTGCTTTTCCAGGCAATCAACATAATTTTGGAGACAAATCCCTGCACCAAGTTTGGTGGTACATCTCTGAATATGCTTCAGAACATCTTGATCCATAATCACTTATCAGATTGACAACACAGGGAATGTTGGTAAAAAAGAGGTTATATTCATGTTGGAGGCAGAACTGTGTCATGCTGGAGGCATGGCACAACTTCCGACACATTTTATTAAATGCATTCTGGTAATCATAGCTTATAACTCAGATTTTGCTTTATTTTAGTTTGTGTGAGGAACGTGCAAACATTGGCCAGTTTCAGGTTGTCCACCACACCTAAATATCAGGGGAAATAGTTGCATGGTGAGCACACCAGTGTACTGATTTTAAAAACAATGAGTAATTACCCATGACAAATTCGCTTGCTGTTATCTAGTTCAGTTGGTTGACCACAACAGTATGCTTACTATGAAAAATGAGTGATCATCTGTGATAAATTAAACTGGATATTTGGTTTGATAATAGCATAAGGATTACCGACATTGTCGGCGCAGGCCTCACACATCCCTGAACTTGTCTGGACAAATTAGGTCTTGTAATTGGTATGCAGTACGAAAAAATACAAAAATAAAATATCAGTTCCAGTAGATACGTTATAACTTATAAATGCCCTAAAGCCCTTCACTTAACTCTAGGCGCACTACACCGACAAAAAAAGCATTTTACCTTACACCCGCAACCCAACCACTCCCAACGCAACCTCGCTCGGCTCCATGACCTTGCATTCAACTACCATCTGAGGCTTTGGGTTGTGGCGTTAGGCCACTTCCAGCTGGTTGTACGATGACGCCACAAAATCACAAAATCAACCCCAGGGTGGTTACATGCACGCCGAAGCCCGGTAAAGTCCATGATGGCAACCGGGGATTTTCCGTCACACACGATACACCCTAGCAGGCAGACAAGTGACTGAAAGGAGGTTAGCGTGACCGGATAAAACCAGACGAGATCTGATGGAACTAGCTGCGACCAGGCGGAACTGGGCGAGATCGGACGAGATCAGACGGCACTGAACGTAACTAGACGCAACAGGACGAAACATAACAAGGCCAACAGGAGCAGATGACACCAGAGGAACCTGGCTGAACCGGACAAGATCAGACGGCACCAAACGTGACCAACAGGAACCGTGTGGAGCAAAACGGGACTACACAGAACCGGACGGGACCGAGCGGAACCGGACCGGATTGGGCGGGGCCGGACAGGACCGGACCGCACTGGACAGGTCCGAACTGGGCAGGACCGGACTACACAGGACCGGGCTGCACAGGACCGGACTGCACAGAACCGGACTGGATCAGACGGAATCGGACTGCCCCGGACGTGATCGGATCGGATGCACTGGACGTGATCTGTCGGCACGGGATGTGATCGGACGGCACCGTACAGAATCAGACGACATCAGACGTGACCGGAAGGAATTGGACTGAATAGAAATGAAACGGACAGGGCTGGGTCGGATCGGAAAGGACCTGACCTAACCAGACAAAACCGGACGTGACCGGACGGGACCAGACGTGACAGGACAGGATCCGACAGATTCCGATAACACTGAACGTGATCGAACGGAGCCGGGTGCTACAGAACGGGACCAGAAGGAACGGGATAGAGCATTATGAGGTAAGATGGGACCTGATATGGAACCAGATGGCTAGACGGGACTGGAAGACACATAATGAAACTGAACAATACCTGATGGGATCGAATGGACCTGGACGAGACCTGTCACTGGGTGGGACAGGAAGCCCAACGGGACCAGTCAGGACCTGACACGATGGAACGGGATCGGACTGTAAGGGATGTGAGCGAAAGGAATGAGGCAGGACGGAACAGGTTCTTTTGGCCAGGACCGATTCCATCTTGTTCCATCTGGTCTTGTCTGATTCCATCCGGTCTCGTCCAGAACCGTCTGGTCTCGTCCGATCTGGTTTGGTTTGGTTAGTTCCCATCCTGTTCCAGTGCTGTCCAGTCCCTTCCAATACCGTCCACTTCCTCTGCTACCTCGCCTTCGCCACTTGGAACGATTAATTTTTGCACCCTCGTCATACATATCTTGTTAGCACTTTCCATGCGTGAACGTAGGCGTAGAAACGATGGGCAAGGTCCATGGGGAAACAATCACCACAAATTTGGTTTTGGCGCCACCACTGTCTGAGATGTTCATCATACGCGTGCGAACATTTCTGATATTTGATAAATGGTTTAAAGAGACAATAGATCACCCGACACAAACAAGGGCGAATCCAGGATGCCGCCGTCGATGGACCAAGGCCGTGTTGGACAGAACAATACTTTGCTTAAAACTCCATTCACCTCAAGGAATATCCTAAGGCAAACCTCACCACGTAGTATTGTTTCAACTTAAGCCACCTGACGGGGGCATAGTCCGGTTGCCCCCTCCCCACCACCTCTGGATCTGCCCTTGGACACAAATATGTGCGACATGAACCTCAACAGGTAGTTGCAGAGGCCCCATGCACCGCCACTCACGCATCGGGGAAAGCCCTGGCCGGCACTGAGTAATCTGCAGTCTGCATCGACTGACGTAAGCGCGAACCAAGTTTCCGTCAGCGCTGCCGCTCCGGTACTGTTGTACGCGTCCCCCGCAAAAAGTTGTAGTAGATACTACGTGCCGGCTGGAATATATACCATACCTCTAGTTTCTTCTACACCAACTGGCTGAAATCCCGTTGCTGTTCCGCATGTTGTGGTGCTATCTATCCAGGATGTATTGTGTGCTGTTTTAATTAATGATGGAAAAATGGTGCGTGGCAAAACTCGGCCTGGCCATCGCGCCAGTTGGGCGGTTTGTTTGGCATCTCCGGTGTTTGGCCCTCGTCTTGTTCACGTTCAGCTGCGCCCAGACGGTATGCCGCATGCGGCGGTGTAAATGGAGCCGCGTGAAGGTCAACAGTAGGAGAGCTGTTTCCTGGAATCGATATGCCATACGGCCTCTCAGCTATTACCTGAGCTACTCGTTCTGGCTCCATAGGGTTAATCAATAACGGTTGCTCCGATGAGAGCAGGAGGTCTGTGCTCCTTGTGAATTCAGAAGACAGAATTCACAAGGAATATATATTTACCTTATACAACTAAGTATTCATTTATTCAAAAGCACATCATTAAAACTAAATATAACATAGCAATAGCACGCTTGTAATCTAAGTATTATTTATTCAATATCACCAAAAGGCGTAGTGTATTTCTGCAATATATATATATATATATATATATATATATACATATATCTATACAAATCGGGCATGTGATAAGGGTGTTATATGTCGCTTGGCCGGGGAAAAACTCACACTTGGCCACACCACTCATGAGAGCCAATGAGTCAAAAGGTGGTCAAGGTCCTGATTTTTTAGCACAAAATGCTTTGTTCGTCATGCTTACGCCAACACATTGCGATTCAGTACATAATTTCAGTAATTATTAGCTCGTTCGCATGCCTTGTGATGTCATCGGGGATCTGATAACGGTGTTGCATGGAACACACTTGCGAAAAAAATGACTACGCCATCGCTTGCCTGGTGGGTATCTCTGATCGGTTCCCTTACAAAAACTGTACCGGTAAAGCTGGATGAAATATAGGTCGAATATAAAATAAAACGGAAAACAGAAGTTTGGACAACTTCAACGGAAAAAATCGAACTTGCAAAAAGCCGAGCTGCAAATGGTGACATGGACGGGAGTCAAAGGAACACAAGTGAAATCGGAAAGTTGAAATATAGAGAATCAACAGGAGTACAAATCGCCACGAAGCAAGTCGAAAGTCAAAAGTGGAAAGAGCGAACACTCGACAAGGCTGAACTCATATTGGAAACAATTCTTGGGGTAAAGCGTTGACATGGATTACAGCCAATTTCGAAAAAAAGAGCCATGTGGTCAGAGGATCTTAAACAGATGTCAGAAGGATAGACGCCTGGCATGGATGTGGATGCCGCCTGTGTGCACTCGGATGCACCTACGCATCCCATAGGTTTCGCTATGAAGGATTTGGTGTAGGTAAGGTAAATACATTTGGGGGGAAAGTTAGTGTGTTACGTTCTATTCTCATACCTAGCGCTAGCGAAATCAGAACAGTCTGCTCTGTGCAGCAATGTAACGACTCTCACAGCTTAAGAAAGGCTCACTTCATGATGGTTTCTTGAAGAAACACAAAGGTCTTACCACGCGGGTTTCACCAAAATCAGGGCTGCCTGTATTTCTATTTACACCAATTCCGTCTTTTAATATCCGAAATACGCAAGACCGGCATTGAATTCCCTGTCTTCAACATCGCGAACCCTCAGCGATATCCATCTCTAATATAGCGTGAGATGTTAGTTAAACGAAAATGTCATGCAAAGTTTGGGAATATCTTGAAAATAAAAAGCTTTACCGTGTTTGTTAATTGCTACTACGCAAATGCATGTGCCTCAAACGTCGAGAAATTACATAATATATCTCAAAGATTGTTTTAAATTACTTTAACTGGTACTTTCTGCTAGCCAGCCTACTTTTGAGGTGAGTTACAAGGACCTGTAGCAATTACCTGAACGACCGCAGAAGTTATATCACTGCCGAGATTGTTTTCATCATGCAAGGCTCCATGTCACAGAGAGCTACGATGAAATGGGATAAGTTCAGAAAAGCAATCTAACCGACTTGTGTCCGGCTGTACTCATCCGGGATCGACTTTAACTCCGATCCGTGCGTGAGGTTGGACTTTCCGCCTTTTTTGGACTTTTTAGATTCCGACTTACTCGGAACACCATGGCTCTACTTTGAATGATCGAGTTCGTTTTCCACTCAAGTAAATATGGATGGCTTCGGAACCAGCCTGGTGGAGTCGATTTCGTTGAAAGCAGTTCACTGGATAAACACAACGAGCAACATAATAACTGCTCGGGGCAATCATTTGCTTTATAATGATGCCATTTATTTTTCAGTCCATTTCTAAACGCATTCCAATTTTCCGAATGATGATAAAACTCGGTGTCTTAAGTTCTATTCAAGCTGGGCCGTTATTGACTGCTGCCAATGCCGTTGAACCAACTCCTCTAACAATATACACTTTTTCTCACAGCAGTCGACTCCAGCTAACCTCAAGCAATATTTGGTTGAATCCAGAGTCGACTACGACTCCACTCAGGTTCAAGCACGGTTCTGCAATCTACAGTACCAATGGACCGTCACATAATCCCGCTTGACAGCTATCGTTCCGAATGATGAAAATCGGGTACGTTTTGTATTACTAGCCGGTACGCTACCACGGAGCGCAACGGCATCGCCGCTTTGCAATAGAAGCCCCTGCCGGCACGGGCGATTGGCAGTGAGCAGTTAGCATTGCGTTTCAGTGGTTCAGGCTGGCAGAGGCAGGTGAGCGGTAGGTGGTGGTGGAGGGAGGCTGGGATTAGTGAACAACTTTCTTAACGATGCGATTCCCATAACCCGGACCTATGCTTGACTCTGGGCCTGGCCGGAATCGATTCGAGGATCAATTAATTTGGCGTTAGCGCAATGTGGAAAACAGTCATTTGACAAGTTTATTCCGACGGTTCCATCAACTGGACCACTAAATTGAAGGGGGTTCCAGGATTTAGCTCACGGGTGATGTTTTGCTGATAACGGATTGATGTTTTCTTACCGCACGTAGGCATAGAGCCCGCTGCCCAAAGTTTTATTTTGTTTTCAATTAAATCGGGGCGTTACCCACGTTAGAAAACTTGTTTTGCTGTTTCGTGCGTCCCGACCATGTTCAATTTATTGTGGACCCAGAACTGTTACTGGCCACGCTCTTTTCTCACCTCGCGGGGCCCAACTTAGATCCCAGTGGGGACATGGGCCCTGATGCCTCCCTGCCTGAAAGCGCCCCTGGACATCAACCTGCATTGTTGTCTGGTCGCTGGAATGTACGTCATGAACCTGCTTATGTGTTTATGTACGACTAATAGTTTGCTATGTGCCAAATTGTTGGCATCAAATGTACTTCATGGGGATTGATCCCATCGAAACCGTTTCCGTAACTGAGTCCGATCCATGTTAGCCGCGAATCAGGGTTTACTCAAAATTTCATACATGTGGTGCACTGCTTGGAATCAATGTTGAAGTCAGCCCCAAGAGCCGTGGTTCTGAATCAGAATCGATTCCCCGTGAGCGGAATCGAGGACATGTCTATGTTAAACACCGGCAATTCAAGCAATTAGTAGGTTCCTGGTCACATGTTTTCCTAAGGCGTCTTTTCAGGATGTTTAGCCTTATTTTCCACAGGTGTTGAGCTATGTCCTGGCAGTGTGTTTACATGAGCAGCTTCTCAACAATTTGTCTGTGCCATTTCTGCTTGGCGGTGTGAGTGTGTACGGACGCCAAAGGCTCCTGACTCCCGACGACCTAACGACATATACAGACCCAGCACGCCGTTGGCGCTGGATCCCGATCGCCAGACACAAGTCACTAAGGTGCGCGTGCCACACAGTTGTTACATGCAGCCCCGTACGCTGATTATTTGTTTAGCTTCCAAAAAACTCGGCACCATGCACGAAGGAAGTCGCATTTTCCCGCTCATGTGGCCTTAGGCGCTTTTTCAATGGTACAATCGATTAAGGCTGCCGTTTCTTATTCAATCTGGTGCTCCAGCCACCCTCCCAAAATTTGGGCTTTGGAAAGAAAGTGGAGCAAATCGGGAGAGAATCCCGCTCGGAGGCGTATTTCGGGAGCGGGCTTTGCCTCTTCCACCTTTGAACCCCCAGTTTATTTCACAAAACTATACAGCAGCAACTGACATACAAAAATAGAAGTAACTGGTATGTCATAGGTTCTCAAAGGGAAGCTATTCGACGTTATTAGCATCCGTTGACTATCTCAATAAATAGCTCATGAATTGACGTGGAAATCCGTGGAGATAGTCCAATGAAGCAATCCAAATCATTCGCAGCTAAGCAGAGATGCATTTAGCATCTGTTCGGAAACAGTAGGTAACAAACCGGCGGCGTGTTCAATTTGTCAGCATCAGATCAGATTGTGTCATGTGTGCTAGATAAAACCATTTTGTCTTATTGAGGGCAACCAACCGCCATCGGTATGCTTATCCCGGCATCGTTTGGATGTCGGATCCCTCTTCCCCGCCTATATCTCCGGGAGCAGTTGTTTCACCGAAAAGCGCAAACACTACTTGAAATTATCTCTATTTAGGAGGCCCCATTTTCGAAACAGGATGCCCCTTCCATGCATGAGATAGCCACGGTTCCGGATCAGGAAGCCCTGTTTTTTCTTTTTGTTATAACGAGATTCCTTGGCTAGATCTGGACGTTCTTTCGTGAATCCGATGCATTTTGTCTTCGATTGGGAAACCCCTCTATGCATCAGGAGCAGGGACGGCGAGACGGATTTTGAGTTGGTGGCAGGGGTTTTAAGGACCTCATGGACAAAATGGAACCCACTCACATGAGGTCTCCTAAGCAGTGTCGTATTCAAGGGGGGAGGGGTCACCGAGGTCACATGCCCTTTTCCTCTTATAAAACTGTGGCATGCATCATGCATCATATCCAAATAAATAACTGTCGACAATTAACACGCGCTCGGGTGGTGGTCAAATTGACCCACCGCGAATATTTTTCCAGAATGGTTTCGGAACGGTGTAGTGAAGCCCCGCCAAATCTTGCATGGCTGGAGACAATTGAATAGCAGATCGCCTGGCATCAAAAGTTTAGATGTACCTTGTAAGGTCACTGACCTATGGCAGGTCAAAGTTAGGCCATGGTTTCAGCGAAGGCAATTTCTAGGGATTCTTTCTATCTGATCCAACAACTGAGTGTCAGACGAAGCCACACATCTCTAAGATACTTTCTTAGGCAACACAACAATTGAATGAACAATTATATTGACCTAAGGTCAGGTATGGAGGTCAGACCAACGTCAAAGTCAACCTGTTTTATTACTCTGGTGCTTGCTGCATGGGGTGGTTCATGGTGCTCATTTCGAATTTGATAATAACAGGAACCGCATCATATACCTCCCACAGACCTGTAACGGTCAGAGTAGGTCACTGACCTAAAAGGGCCCGGGTCAATATTTTCCTGTAAGGAACATGCTGCTTAGCGTAATCTTCGTCGCTTATCCAAATGCAAGACCCCGAAGGGGTCTTGCATGATTTTGGTCAACATGACCTTCAAAATGTCAAACAAGGTCACTGACCTTGGCTAAGCATGCGATCATTTGCTTAGAACAGTTGTCTAGGTTCTAGAGACCCTTTGGAGACCAAGTTGGAATTTAACCGTTTTTTGTTTTAGTTGACCAGAAGGTCATAACCTAGGAACTTTAAACTTTGATCTAAGTGGGTTCATGTACAGGTCAACACACCCTGTGAATTTGGTTATATCTAGCTCCCTTTTTTCTTGAGATCTCAGGGGGGTCAAACTGACCCCCACCCAAGCGTAAGGTATCCAGCGGGCCACCCGGGCGCGTGTTAAAAATTCAGGATGGGAGCTCTCTCATTGTTCAACAAGGGGTCCCGCTATCCCAAAACAAGGCTACATGTTCCAGAAAAGGGCCTCCTCATGCACAGGGGAGCCTCCCAATTCACAAAGATTCATGAAGGGCCCTCCAATCTAGCCGAGGGGCCTCAGCAGGGCATCCTGATCCGGAGCCGTGGTCATCTAGTGCATGGAAGGGGCCTTATGTTCTAGAAATGGGGCCCTGAATTTACATGGCGCCTCCTAAGTCAAACAGAGGTCTTCTAGTTCGTAACGGGGCCTCCCCTTACCAGCGAAAAAGCCTCCTTGACACAACATTGGACCTCGTGATCTAGAAAAGTGATTACTTATTCGTAAAGGTGGCCCCAGAACCCGGAAAACGGGTATTTAGATGTAGCAAATGGTCTCCTTTCTAAGTCTCATATATTACCCTCTAGCTCAGTAAGACACATGACTGAGCTATCAGATGATAGCATCAAAATCAGATGGCGTCAGATGGCATCCGTCTCCCTGGCTCATATGCCCAGGAGAATTCCTAGTGTCTCTCTTAGCTTAAACCACAACTGCTGTCGCATTTTTAATGGCTGCGTTTTCGAATATTTCCCTTCCATCGAGCTGAACGTTCGTATATACGATTCGCCGGTTTAATGCTACCCGTACCACGACCTTAGCTCCGAAAGAGTCTGTGACAGTTAAGGTGATAATCATACCAAATGTTGGTAAAATTTGCCCTTATTGGCGCAAAGCATTTGCCCAAAGCATAGCGCAGTGGTTTGGGCTGGTGTTGGAATATGTAACCAGTCCCAGTCGTCTCAATCACAAATTTGGTTAGAAAACATACTAATGAACGCCATGAAGCTAATTTTGTTGCAAATAATGGCTCAAATTGCGTAAAACAGGTTTTGAAAAACCATATTATGCGGACCTTCAACACGCAAATGCCCTAGGATATCCCTGTGCTGACGTCACCGCGAGATTGCCAGAACTAGTCCCGACTAGGTTCTGTTCCGACCTTAGCAGCGCTGTCGACCGTGGCCGCACGTGCGGGGTGCGCTGTGCCGGCGTCCGTCTGTGACGTTTTCGCCGTTTCTAACATCAGAGTAGCTGGGTAGGTAGGAAATACATGCTGTTGCTGGAGGATACTGGCTTTCAGTGGCACCATGGGTCGTCTAGGCCCAGTGCCCGCTACCCTGTTATCACGGTTCCTTGTGTAACTCGTCGGCAGCTGGTACCTAGTGAATCATGTCCCACTGGATCATGCATCAATCAGGCATTATCGGGAGCTGCAAGGTCTTATGACCCTTCTCCGTATGTATTGCACATGGGGATAATCTGAAATTATGTAGAGTGGATATTTAATGGACATGTATCACAGTTGGCGCAGGTCCTCTACAGTAGCTACAGAGTCCATGATGTATTTTCAGATTAAACATTGGACCATTACTACATCATGCTGGCATCAATAGACCACTAGGTACACATAATTTTACCCAGCCCTGTCATCACTTTAAATGAAAAACCATGAGACAGCATGCAATACTTCCATAACTGCCTAACCATGGACATTAATCTGTTATGAACAAATTCATAAAGTTACAAATGAAATGTTTGGGTTAAACATGAGCCATATGCCCTGTTAAATTTGTGTTGGTATGGTACCAAACAGTATCTAATGATGATGTAATGATAATTATTAGCTCAAGGTTTTTATGCTGGGTCAATAACCTTCAATATGCTTACATGTTCTTGCTGATTGATGTTGATATTGGTGGTACTTGGTATAATCAGTGCTCTTTCCAGTGTGTCGAAGGTTGTTGATCAGGATAAGAACTTTGAACTTACAATTCCAAAAAAGAGAAGGCGTGTGCCATTCTTATTTTGGGTGGAAGCAGTTGATTATGAGGTTTTAGACTGATTGTGTTTGGACCTAGAACAAGTGTCTTGAAATGATAAGTTTATTTTTCATATTGATTCTCATTTTTATTTCACAGCACATAGCATGACCATGCATCTATAGTATGACATGCCTGTATGTCCTTTTGCAGGTCAAACATGTCCAACCATGATGTGCTGGTGGCACCAGAGTTCCACCCGGTGTCTCTGAAGCTGCTGGTGTCGGCGGAGCTGGCTGGCCGGCCATTGACCGTGCGGTGTCCCGAGGGACCATCAGACCCCATATGGCACCACTCGCTGGGCGGCCTTCCCGTACTACAAACGGGCGGCGGCGGCGTGCTGTTCTCGCCGTCGGCGGCGGCGCGCTGCCTGCTCTCGGCCGACGGAGACGCTGAGCTGGAGACGTGGCTGCGCTGGGACGGCCTGGTGCTGCAGCCGCTGGCGCTGCGCCGGCTGCAGGCGGCGCTGGCCGGCCGGGCCGACGCTGCCGCCAGCGCCGCCCTGGCCGCCGCGCTCGAGAAGCTGTCGGCGGCCGGCCGCCTGCCTGCCGCCGCCGAGGCCGTCGTCTGGGCGTCGCTGCAGCCGCTGCTGGCGCTGGACGGCGGCCGGCACCTGGCGGCGCCGCCGCCGCTGGCCGCACGGCTGGCCGAGGCGGCGGCGGCGGCGCACTGCCGCGCCGCGCTGCGCCGCCTGTATGGCGACAGCCCGGTGGAAGTGTGCCGCGCCGCCGCGCTCGCCACCGTCCTGCCCGCTGTCGGCTTGGAGGGGCCCGACGGCTGCCCGGCCGGCCGGCCGTCGGCGCCCGCCGCCAGCGAACCGGAGTCCCCGACGGAGCGGGAGGAGGAGGCCATCTCCACAGACGACTTGGACGCAGCGGTGGCGGCGTACCTGGCCGGGCTGGCCTCGGCAACCGCAGCGGCGCACGCTCCCCAAACCCGTCCTGCCCGAGGAGGGCCGCCGGAACGTGCTGATCACGTCGGCGCTGCCGTACGTCAACAACGTACCACACCTAGGCAACATCATCGGCTGCGTGCTGTCAGCGGATGTGTTCGCGCGCTTCTGCCGGCTGCGCGGCTGCACTACGCTGTACGTGTGCGGCACGGATGAGTACGGCACGGCCACCGAGACCAAGGCGATAGAGGAGGGCGTCACGCCGCGACAGATCTGCGACAAGTACTTCCAGCTGCACCGCGAGGTGTACGAATGGTTCAACATTAGCTTCGACCACTTCGGCCGCACGACGACGGCGCACCAGACGGAGGTCGCGCAGGACATGTTCACCGTCATTCATGAGAACGGCTTCACGCTGGAGGACACCATGGAGCAGCTGTACTGCGGCAAGTGCGACCGCTTCCCTCGCTGACCGCTTTGTCGAGGGCACGTGTCCGCTTTGCGGCTACGAGGACGCGCGCGGCGACCAGTGCGACAAGTGCGGGAAACTCATCAACGCCGTGGAGCTGATGAAGCCGCGCTGCAAGCTGTGCACCTCGTCGCCGGAGGTACGCACCAGCCGCCACATATTCCTCGACCTGCCCAAGGTGGAGGCGCCGCTGCGCGCGTGGTTCAAGCAGTCCTCTCCGCAGTGGACGGCCAACGCGCGCGTCATCGGCAACAGCTGGCTGCGAGACGGCCTGAAGCCGCGCTGCATCACGCGCGACCTGCGCTGGGGCACGCCCGTGCCGCTGCCCGGCTACGAGAACAAGGTGTTCTACGTGTGGTTCGACGCCCCGATCGGCTACATCAGCATCACGGCCGGCTACACGCCCGAGTGGCGGCGCTGGTGGCTGGCGCCGAAGACGGTCGACTATTACGAGTTCATGGCCAAGGACAACGTGCCGTTCCACTCGGTCGTGTTCCCCGCCTGCCAGCTGGCCACCGGCCGCGCCTACACGATGGTCACGCACCTGATGGCCACCGAGTACCTCAACTACGAGGACGGCAAGTTCAGCAAGTCGCGCGGCGTGGGCGTGTTCGGCACGGACGCGCGCGACACGGGCATCCCCAGCGACATCTGGCGCTTCTACCTGCTGTACGTGCGGCCCGAGAACCAGGACTCGGCGTTCTCCTGGGCCGACCTCATGACCAAGAACAACTCGGAGCTGCTCAACAACCTGGGCAACTTCGTCAACCGCTGCCTGTCGTTCTGCCAGCGCTGCTTCGGCGGCGTGCTGCCCGAGCTTGAGATGGGACCAGATGAGCGCCAGCTGATTGGCCAGGTGGCGCGCGAGCTGCGACGCTACCTGGCACTGCTCGAGGAAGTCAAGCTGCGCGACGCCATCCGCCACATCTTCAACATCTCGCGCCGCGGCAACCAGTACATGCAGGCCAGCCAGCCGTGGGTGCTGGTCAAGGGCTCGCCGGAGGAGCGCCGCCGCGCCGGCTCTGTCATCGCCCTCTCGGCCAACATCAGCTGCCTGCTGTCGGTCATGCTGCAGCCCTACATGCCGGAGACGTCGGCCACCATCCAGCGGCAGCTGTGCGCGCCCGACGCGGTCAACGTGCTGGGCGACGCGTTCGTGTGCGCGCTGCCCGCCGGCCACCGCATCGGCACGCCAGCGCCGCTCTTCGAGAAGATCGCGCCGGAGCGGATTGAAGAGCTGCGCAAACGGTTCCAGGGCGCACAGGGGACGCCGGCGGCGGCGGCGGTCGGCGCCGGTGCGGGCGACGTGGCCGCGCTGGAGCAGGAGGTGGCCAGGCTCGGCGACGTGGTCCGCAAACTAAAGGCGGCCAAGGCGCCCCAGGCCGAAGTGCAGGCGCAGGTGAAGCTCCTGCTGGAGGGGAAGCAGAAGCTGACGGCGGCCTCGGCGGCGGCGGCAGCCGACCTCCGCCGGTGCTGGCGCTCCAGACCCGGCTGAGGTGGCTCGACTCACGGCAGCCGTGGCCGCTCAGGGCGACCTGGTGCGAAAGCTGAAGAGCTCCGGCGCCGACAAGCAGCAGGTCACGACCCAGGTGGGCGTGCTGCTCGACCTCAAGAAGCAGCTCGCCGCCGCCGGCGGCCAGAGCGCGGCGGAGGCGGCGCCAAAGTCCGGCAAGAAGGGTAAAAACAAGTGAGTCCGCGCGAAACTAGGGCTTTTATGGGGTGTTGATCATGGTGGGAGGGCTTCAGTTTCATTGCAAGCTTCAGCTTCAGCTTCAGCCTCAGTTCAGTTCTGGCTGGTCATCGGACCAGGCGGGTGATAGTTCAGCATAGTACGGTACCGTGCTGTCATAATGTGTCGGGTCGCACCGGACGTGATGCGGTCGGTTGTGAATATGGCGTTGTGAGGTCTGCTTTTGTACTTTAATGGGATTAAAGTACAAAAGTGCTTAAACTAAACTCCAGTGAGTGGGCTAGTCGAAAATCCTCTCGATAATGTTAGATTTATTGGACCAACGTTGTTGTGCTTCGGCTTTTAGATGTGGTTCATTGCCATCGGACCAAATACACTCGACGGCCTCCGGTGCACCGTGTTATATTCCAGATGACTGGGCGGAATGAGAGAAGATGGCCAACCGAGCACGTACCGTGCCTCACTTTGTTTTCTGATAGCAGTGGTCCTTGAGTTTTCGTGCAGCAATACCATACATTTATAGACGCTACAATGCCGCTTTAGTAGTGGAATTGAAGAGGGTTGTGGGCGAATGCGCTCGATCTAGAGGTTACCAGCGCGCGCTGTCGTCGAACTCTATAACGCCGTACGATACTAAGCTGGCGCCTGAACGTTGCTGTGCGCCGAAGGGTTTGCGATGCTCCGCAGGGATCTGCTGATTGACGATTTCGCGCATGAAGGTGTCCATGCAGTTCAACCAGGCGGGTGTACTTGCGGTCTTGGCTTCAGGCGGAACACCCTGCGTTTCACCTATCGCTATATCGCAGTTGCTCCCTTCACCGGCTGCGTTTCCATTCATCGACATGAACCACGTTATGTCCAAGCTCCCCATCCGTTTTACTTCTACGCAGACTGGTGCTCAATACAGACCAATAGCGCATCCGTTGGATAACGGCACGTCTTCGTGCGACTGTGTTTCATTTGGTGCACATACGATCCGTCAGACCATGCATATATCCTCCGTTAATACGTCCTGCTGATTACAGCTCTGAGACGACTCAGCAACAACCTGGCTGATCCCATTCCGTCCCGCCCGCAGAACAAAAATTAAAAGAATCGATTTGAAACAAAAATTTGGTTAATGCCGGAATCGCCGACGACTTCAGCTGGAGTCAAGCATAAGTCTGCTTCTAGTTGATCTCAAATTTCACCACACTATGGACTCTGGTTTAGTATAGGTATTTTGGGACTGATGCAACGAGCGCTGACGGTCGATCGAATCTCGCATTTCCAAGTTTCCAGGATATATCTTATCTAGGATATACCGCTGTTACAGAAACTCGAGCGCATTTCACAATGTCGCGTGACTAGCCATCCGCGCTAGACCAAGTTTTCCAGCCCCCATTTGGCACAACACCTAGACTGGTCGCTGGCGGACGACTTGTCGGGAAGTGATCACTTCCCGTTGCGGCTGCGGTACCAAAAGAGTCGAGTGATGGGTGTGAGGCCACGCTGGAGGTGGAAAAGACAAACTAGGCCGAGAGCGAGACTCGACTCGAGACGTCCATAACAGACCTTCTAAGAGCGCACTGGCCCCAGCACCGGCCCTTAAGCATCGGCTAAGGGCGCGCCGACTTTAAGGTTCTGTGCATCAGCTTTCAGTGCGCCAACGGATGTATACAACGCGTTTGCCGTCACCCCGTCGCGCTCCTGACCCGTGGTGGATACAAAAGTGTCGGGACGCCATTCATGCTCGTAAATGGTCGGAGCTGCGACGCCGAGAATGGTTCATGGAACCTGATTGCTGTTGTTTATAGGTGACAGCTTTTATTAGACACATGATGAGGACATCAAAGCTTGTCACCTAGGGTGCGTGCCCGGGCATGCTGAACCGCTGCACATTAACTTCGCAGGTCGGAGTGCGGATTTAGCGACTGCCACAACATGGACAATGGACATAGCCACGTCTCTGAGACGGGGGACTAGATTATACAACCTGACCTGCTAACGGCGTTTTAAGTGGAGGAAAACGTCAAATCGTGCGTTCTATGGACAACGTTTTAGGAGACAACCCCCATTTTGGAAAAAAATGGAAGAGTGACGTCTTCTCCAGACTCTCCCCCGCGCTCCCCAGTGTTTATACCCATGTATCGGGGCGGTTTTTTACCTGCGCTGCTAGGTGCGATACGCCTGACGACCAGGGTGTGACGTCCCCGTCAGATCTACCGACCAGGACGTGACGCCTCCGTCAAATCTGTCGACCAGGACGTGACACCCCCGTCAGATCTATCGACCAGGACGTGACGCCCCCGTCAGATCCGTCGACCAGGACGTGACGCCTCCGTCAGATCTGTCGACCAGGACGTGACGCCCCCGTCAGATCTATCGACCAGGACGTGACGCCCCCGTCAGATCTGTCGACCAGGACGTGACGCCTCCGTCAAATCTGTCGACCAGGACGTGACGCCCCCGTCAGATCTATCGACCAGGACGTGACGCCCCCGTCAGATCCGTCGACCGGGATGTGACGCCCCCGTCAGATCCGTCGACCAGGACGTGACGCCCCCGTCAGATCCGTCGACCGGGATGCGATGCCGTCGTCAAATCCATCGGCTGGGATGTGACGCCCCCGTCAGATCCATCGACCGGGACGTGATGCTCCCGTCAGATCCGTCGACCAGGATGTGCTGCGCCCGTCGGGTGTGACGAACAAACTGTCTGGTGCCCGTGCACGCCACGGTGAGTGTGACGTCAAAGGTCGCCAGTGTGTACGTGACAGGACATGATGTGAACGGGCGGCGTCGCTGGTGAACCGCAGTGGTGGCATCATCGGGGATCCGCAGCTGTACACTGCGCCGCTCACTTTGGTGCATAAAAGTGAGCTATTAATCTTCCCAACATGTCAGAATGACCTCGTGCCGACTTAGACGCTGCCGTCAAGCGTGCTTCGTATGCTCTTGGTGTTTTGTTTTGTTTCGTTTTGTTTTGATTTGTTTTAGTTTGTCTTAGGCTCGTGGATGATAGGTGAAATGCCAAGTGCTTGCAGGTCATCAGCTATTGTGGCTCATTTATTGTAACCAAGTAAGTGAAGCTTAGACGCTTCTCATTACTGACCTATGTTGTTTGTGTCATCGCCTTATTTATTTTTTTAGATTCAATCCAAAGGTTTTGCAAAGATTGATGTCTAGAATCGGAGCTCACACTGAGCAGTGCTTTCTGGGTAATCCCTGGCCCCACCACCCGATCGTGCGATTCCAGCTCAACGGCATAATATGGTGGCGGAAGTTTAGCGTGTCGTAGTGCTCGGCACGGTCCGTTCTGCCCACGTGACGTCACGTGACCATTTAGCGCGACCTGCCGCAGACCGTCGAGTGCTTAAAGCGACTCGATCATACTTCACAACGGATGGGTGGATTGGAAGGCAGGCGCTCCAACCAACCGCGCCATCGGGCCGGCAAGCGGGATGTTGATGAAAACGGCGGAAGCTATCCAGTTGGCCTGTCTCTTTTTCTAGAACAGCACGAAATTTTCACTAGCGCGCAGTGTATATTACAATAAATCGTAGTACATTGGGCCATCGGTCGAGACGCGGCATTGCTTCGTACGGATTTGAAAAGATGGGCATATAGCTCGGTCATGTATCGTGGCGTGGGGACGTACCATACATTTTTGGGTGACAGTTTCTCATAAAACTTCTTGGGTAAGCTAGGCAAGGATTGGTGGGTACTTCCCCTCGAATGTGTGTTAACCGGCCGGTTTTTTCCCCGGTCGACATCAGGACCACTTTCCCGTCGGAAGCACACGAACACAAGGAACATGTTGGTGCAAGAGACACCAAAGTGTGAGCGTCCGCCCCTGGTGGAGGTGATCGCGTGTTAAATCAAACATTGTTCACAGCAATGTCAGCGGTATTCAGCCATATTTTTGGCGGCTTGTCAATCGTGCCGCTTTTGTTCTGATTTTCTCATGCGGATCAATGCAGCGAGATCACCGTCAACAGACAAATTAATGGTAACGGCGCACACCTAGGGAAAAGTTTCGTTTCTTATAGACGAAGACTTCAACTTATATATCCAGCTCGCTGGGGCGTCATGGACGGCAAATGACTTCTTCGCTCGGTGCGCCCCACAGCAACAATATTGAATTGACCACCGCTGACGCAGTTGGTACATGCATGGTTGTCATCAAAAAGGTTTATTCAACGCCCAACTAAACACCTTCTTCCAGTCAGCCGGTGCACAGCAGCTGCAGAGCCGAGCCGTATTGCTTTTCACTCATCCGGTTCAGGCTCACTGCCACCACAGGGGAACACCCGGCCGGCAGAGCGTGACCTCACCAGCCCCGGCCGGACGAGAGAGCGACTCGTGCAGCTCACCCGACCGGGGGAGCATGACTTCACTGCAATTCCCAGTCGATAGCCACTGTAAACACGTGAACAATACCAGCCGAGCGGGGGGGGGGGGGGGGGCGAAACGTGACTTCACCCGTACCACTGACTGCTGTTGGTTGACCACGAGTAACAGTAACTGTGTGATTACCCAGTCATCGAGTTTATTTTGCGCAAAGTGGTTCTCCCGGCCGTGAAGCATCTGTTCGAGATAAGGTGCGATTCAAGTTCGATTTCTGCGACAAACCTATCCAGGAATGCACACACCACGTGCCGCGCTGTGATCGGTGCGATCGGGAATATGGTACAAGCTTCGATTTCCCACTACACTGACTTCCTTCCAGCACGCTTAAAAACGTGAGCACTTTGCACTCAAACAGTTCCAATGCAACCATCGACCTGAGTCTGGAGGCACAGACGTCCACAACCATCGCTTCGACGTCTTCAGTACTTTGCTTCGCGTGATAGAAGTGAATGAAATGATCTTACCTATCAGGCAGAAGAGGCCGTCGGTGGTTAACTACCAACTACTGGCTCAAAGATCGGATAGTTCTTTCTTTTATCTGGACCAATTAAACATGCGTGCAGTGATCCGTCCTAAGCCCCGTTTCTACCTGAAAAATAGCATCAAGTTTGTCGTTGTCGGAACTGGACGACTTCCTTCCTCACGCCACTTTCCTCCCTCGACTTGCCCTTATGAATAGACCTTGGATGGTCTACCGAGCCATCATTACGAGAACAGCCATACACTCGTGAATTTAAGCGGTGCATAAACGCTTCAGTTTTGTCGGTGAAATGCGATCATGCGCGTCTAAATTATTGATAGATGTATATATTATCGTATAACATCAATGTATTCCTTGTCTGCTAAAAGAAAGCTACCAAACTGGATTCAGACTGCCAAAATCAACAGTAAATGTGGCTGATAAAAAATAATCCTGTACGGCACATGAACCTTGGTATCGGCTTGACCGTTGGCATTGATAAAACTTGTGCAATGATGCTATAAGTCATTCAACATTCTGA